CGATCAAAGTCATATAGATCCGACATATATGAGTCTCGTTGTTTTCTTTAGCAACTGAAAATTGTTTAAAATATTGATATAAATTCACTAATCAAAATGAATCCTGGTGGATTCTGGTGGATTCTATGGATCCTGGTGGAATCTAGAATCCATCAGGAGCCACCAGGAGCCGCTTTTTCCCCCTTGCGTCAACATGTTCTTTTGGTTAATGGCCTACGACACATTTTTAGAATATAACACATGTAACAACAACAAAAATAGGAAAAAAAAGCATACCAGATTGAGAAATCGTGGTAGATGGTAGATATTAGAATATTTGTTATAAAAATTGACGATAACACTTATCACAGCAGTTAAAGTTGTGATGAAATGACCGAGAAGTATAATAAAAATAGAAAGAAATAAAGATATTTCTCAAAGCATCTATATTCGAAATGAGGTTGATTCGAAAAAAGAGTATTTTTATAATCAGAGTTGATAACAAAATAAAAAATTTAAAATGAGTTCTCCGTTCATTAAATATTAATCGATGAAAATATGCACATAACAAGAGATTTTTAGTTTTGTATCATACAAAGAGACAGAAAAAAACATTATAACTAAGGTTTCGTTATTCATTATAAAAAAAAGATATAGATGATGACAAATTCATCATATTCTTTTGATGTTTGCTCAAAAATACTCATGATTATGAATACCAATCCTCCTTGCATATTCTTTTACATTTTCTTTACTTTAATTCGAGCCACCTTTTCATACTCTGTTTTTCAATAGTACTGCATTGTATACTGTTCTTTTATGTAGATCTACCATTAGAAATATCATACATCGGATGTATGACACTCATTTCTTTTTTCATTATTCATATTATATTCTTATTTTAGTATACTTAAGACAACTGCTGTCCTGACCATCAGCACCTCGATTATTTATAAGGTCGTCATCAACTCGGCTATTTAAAGCCAACAACAGCTCAGTATATTTATAAGGAGACTCTTACTGTAAAACGTTTACACAAAAAGAATGCGAAAAGATATGACAATGATCGTGATTATTGGTCTGTTTCTGACTAATATGTTTACCTTTGGTAACGGATATTGTTTTGTTGGACAAACCGCATTTAATATCAGTTGTATGTAGCAAATAAAATTGTCTAGAGAAACTAATTATGACAATCTTTGTTACAGCTTATGGTACTGTTGAAAAATACTGTGAGTATAAAGGTATGCGATTTGCCATTGGATCTAGTTTTAAATTGGCTTCACCAGAATGTATTGAATGCACATGCAAAGACCCAATGTATCAATGTTGTGGGTAAAAGATTCGAATTTCATTGATATTATTTCCACTGTGTATGCTTCATAGATATGGTGCAAGTGGTGGTGTCTTCGCTGTAGAGGGTTGCAAAACAGTCACTGACTTTTGCAACGTTCTCTTTGTCGATCCTAAGGATCCAAATAAACTGTGTGGACCTTCCGCTACCAAAGCTATTCCCAAGACCACTGTTACTACAACAACCGAAAAGAGGCACCAAAAACATCTACAACAACCAATGCACAAGGGAAAACAGTGAAACGTGGAAAGAAATGCAATTATTCATCATCTTCAGAAGATAATAAATGAATGAGAGAGAAATGTTTATCTAACAATTTAATAGTTGACATTAAATATTGAAATGATTGCAATACTCGCAAGATTTTATTTTGGGCTATATCAGTGAAAAATCTTTTTTTCATCAGTAGTTTTCTTCAGAACTTTTTTGATGCATTGAATTTTTCAGTTAATTTTAAATTGAAAAAGTTTCACTTTACCAGAAACATTCTGAAGAAATAATATAGATCAAACGTGAAATTGATAATTCGTCTGATTTTTCTTGTCAGAGAAAAAAGTATATTGATACTTTATGTTCAAAAGAATTTCTTTTATCTTATTATCTGACATTTATTATAGCATGCTAAGTTTTTGATGAAACAAGAATCAACATATAGTACAGTCAGTTTATTTTCCATCGATGAACATTCTATAATTTCAGAAACAAGAACTTCAACAAGTCTAAAGCTGGAACTTAAAAAAAAATTATGAGATTCATGAATACTTCTTTCACATTCTTGATGTGTCAGCATTCGAAACGAAGTATTTGGATTGAACAAACTCCTTCAAAATTCTTTGATTTAATATATAAATTGAAAGATGAATAAACAACTGCTAACATAAGAGTAATGAGTCAGAAAAATGTCAGATTATTTCTAGTTGAATAATCTCTAGATAAATCGACAAATCCCTGCTACTATCAAGGTCAAATCAACGTATATCTGATAGAAAAATAAATTTACATCGTTTTCAACATTCGATTTATAAAGAAAAGAATCCTAGAGTACTTCTTCATTAATGATATTATTGTTAAAGTTCTTCGGTTGACGTAATTCAGATTCACTCTGGTATTTCGATGTCTATCTGCAATAGCAAAGATCTTGCTACGTTAGATACGACTTCAAAAACAAATTCAGCCTACTAAATTCATAACCTCCGAATAAATTATCACATGTATCGTATCATATAATGAGATCAACCTAAAATCATTGAAAACTGTAGTTGATTTATTTTTTTCTCTCCATCACATGAAAGTGATGCATTGGGTGAGCCCATGGGAAACATATCAAGCTTACATTGGCTTTCTCAGAACTGGTTGAAACTTTCAGAATTCGTAGAGCATAATGAGCTAATCATTTTGGTAATAAACTGCTGTGAGTTCGATCATGGATTATGGTTAAAATGGCCAAAACACTATTTTCAAGAATTCCTGAAGATCATGGTTAAAGCGAAAAGATGTGATTTTTGTGAGAATGTTTTCCTTTTTATTTTAAGGTTAAAGTTGAATATACCATACGTACTCTTACACCTTGCGATCGACTCTATCACATCATATATGAGCAAAGACGTTTCCATTTGTTATGGGAAATTTTTAATAAGACCACAAGAAGCTTACTGCCTCGCAACTTTCTCTCCTAATAATAAAAACTCTCTTCCGAATTTGGATGAACTATGGTCTAGTAGATTTTGCAGAATGTCTAACACTCTATCTTGTGGTGTATAGAGATTTACAGGCGATTTCTGTTTTCGCTCGTTAGAAGGTTAAAATGCTTATCTTCGACTGCTTTCTGAAGATTTCGTTTCATATTTCTCAACTTTTCAAAATAAAAGCTTAATAAACTAAACTGAAACTTTTAACTAAGAGCAATCACAAGTTATGCCTAAACTCTTGATTGTTCAAAATTTTCGTTTTCAATAGAAAATAAAGCTATACTGTATTAAGATAAAATTGGTATCTCAAAGGATTACTGATCCATTTTGAAAGATTTCATTTAGCTTTATTTCAATAATGTAACTCAAATCTATTAGAAAAGTCACACGTGAAAAAAAATCAATAGTATACTGCCATATTAATGTTCTATGAATGATTTTAACATTGATTTGAGATTAATATATTTGTCTTCTTTAATTCTACCATTCTTTTTAGTGATCGTTATTTGCTGATGTTAAAAGAAAAGAACTTGAAAACAATTTTTTAATACAATGTACTTCACAGAAAATAAATCGATTCGCCTCTAATGATTTTACCTCAGTATACTAGCTTTTACAGAGTGTACTGGATAAGAATAAATATGAATTTCTTATCAAATATAGTTGGCACAGAATAAAGAAATAGAAGCCATGAAAAATAAATCAATTGTAAGGGATAGATTTGACTTGAGCCATATTCTGATGCACAAGGGTATTCAACTTTTACAAAAAACAACCGAATGTACATTGTTAAGATGAAGATACACGAAATCTTTCAAAATGAAGCAGTAATCTTTTGAGATATCAATGTTATTTCAATACAGCATAACTTTATTTTCTATTGAACGCAAAAAATTTGAACAATCAAGAATTCAAGCATGATTTGTAAAAATATTTTACTATTATAGATCGAAATGAAAGAGAAAACAATAATTTATGAAGTTTTTTGATGAATTTTATTCTAACAGTTAGGATTTTTCTGAATTTAAACTTTCAGATTATTTTATTGAGTCTTTTTTTGAAAAGTTCAAAAAAATGAAACGAAATCTTCGGAGGAAAACAGTCGTAGATAAACTTTTTGAACTTCTAATTGACGGCGATGGAAACTGACTGCAAAACGTGTTATACTATTAGATAAAGCAAGTAACACTCTGCACAATCCAGTAGAGCATCGTTCGTCCAATGTCAGAGAAAAAGTTTTCTTAGGAAAGTTTGTAAAGCAGTAAACTTTTCATGGTCTCATTAAAAATTTTACTCAAAAGACAGTCCATTCTGACAAAGTCGATGCAAATGTGGTACATTTCCCATGGATTCACTCAGTGTGATTTCTCCTATGAAATATATCTTAAGAGAAATTAGAGAAGTCATAGTTTTGTTCAGAATTTCCTTAAGGGGATTTAAACGCTGATTCTAATGAGTCATGAATGATTGTTAATGAACGAAGATTCAACAAATAATTAAAATTCTCATTAACATCATCATTGGATTGATCTGATTTTCAATATGATTTAGAATAGTTCCAACAGTGAAAATAAGCCAAGATCAACGACAGTTACTCAGATCAATCTTTGATAAATGATTATTTAGATGATTATTTAGATGAAGACCCCATATTATAGAAAGAAATTCATAAATCCACACTTGGTAAATGCTTAATAACGATCTATAGCAGTTTAATAGACAAGCTTTCAAATGAAGTAATAATCAACGAAAACTAACGCTCGCAAGGAAACAAAGCCTGTTCTTTTCTTTTTTTCTTTCTAAAATTTACTAAATACAACCAATGAAGTTTTCGTCTGGCAAAACGAAACAGTATGTTTTCGTTGGCACGACAATCAATCACACCGACATATTTATCAAAGATTCATTTCTTTCGATGATGGTTATAAAATTACAAATGGAAAATAGTTTTAATTAAAGTCTCTCTCGAATTTTTGTATTCGAGCATTGTTCGATTCTACGACATAAAGATTTTCTTGTTGATAAAATGATAAACCATTAGGAGAGTTAAATTGATTTGCTTTTTGCCCTTTTCCATTGCCACCAACGACAGTAAAACCTTCTTTCGATCCTGGAGGCCAATATACAATTCGATTATTCTGTGAATCAGCTAGAAAGAGATTTTTCAATTGATCCAAGACAATACCCATCGGATAACATAATTGTTTCAATTTATTTCCTTGACCGTTTCCACCAGCAACAACAATTCCTACTTTAGCATCTTTAATCCATTTGGTAACTCGATGATTTTCATTATCTGATACATAAATTGAGTAATCATCATCAACAACGATATGCGTCGGATGATTGAGTTGATCTCCTTGTCCATTTCCTCCAGCAATTATAGTTCCAGATTTATCTCCTATTTTCCATCTTTTGACTTCATGTTTATCTGAGTCCGAGATATAAAGATCTCCGTTGGAATCCATTTTTAGACGAGAACAGTCAACATTCGAAATAATAGTTTGTCCATTTAGACGAGGCCACTGTACTACTCGTCGATTTCCCCAATCAGAAATGATAAGAGAATCCTTGAGGGTGTGGGTGGGTGTGGGTGTGGGTGTGGGTGGGTGTG